GCCTTCGAGGTCGTTAAGCTCTCTTTTTTCATCGTCCAGGTGGACTGTCAGATCAGATGGGAGATTGGATCCTGGTCGATTAAGGATGGCAGTGAGGGAGAAGTTGCATTTGACGCGTTTGGTGAACTTAGCCCACGCTTCAATGTGAGCAGGTTGATCACACGTTTTTGATTCTGCCATTGCATTTTGGCGGCAAGGTTGTACGTGGCATCGTGGACCCAGCAGGGAATTGTGCAACGAGCAAAATCAATCGTTGATTTTGTCCAGGGGTTTGGTGCAAGGCCCTTCTGGCCGCGGTTGTCCAGACTCTCTAGCGATCTCCTCCAGTTGGTCGGTGGATGCACTGCAACGCCAGTGGCCGATGGTTAGCCCATTGGTCACGACTGCACGAATGCCTGGAATCAAGATGAACATATGTTAATATGGTACGCCCCAAGTTGAAATGATAAGAGTGAAACCTCAGTACCATAATACGTACCATAATACACTTCTTCGCCCGTCTCAGGATCCACCCCACCGGATTTGACACGCACACAGCTACTGCAATAATGATCGCGGAAGCTGGTGCCTTCAACATCAAGCCTCTCCAAATGGGAGGCAATAGCCTCGTCGAATCGAAGGTCATCAGTGCCAGTGGCAGGAAGGAGTACTTGGTTACCTCGCCGATCTTCATGGGCGAGGAGATCTCGCAGTTCGAGGCTGTCTAGACAGACGGCCTCTGACATGGCCGGTGTATACACTTGTCCTGAGTCAAATTGAGGGACATCGGAATCTTCAACGTAAACTTCATTGTACCAGTTTGTCAGGTTGAAGTGCGAGACACTAAGTGATATCGAGCGTGATTTCAAAGCAGAATATTAGCAAACCCAAGTTAGAGGAAAACCTTTGAACCATCGACCTAACTGAGCGAGCATTTGAATCACACGGAACATGTGTCCCAAACGATTTGTGATGTAGTAGTGGCAATGAACGTGGAGGATTTCCACGTCACGTCCCATGGCTAAGGTATAATAGTGGCGTGTTTTAGCGGTCGTGTAATAACTAGGGCGATACGGAGTCCCACAGCCTGTTTGTGAAAGAGTTAATTTCATATTGTATCGCATTGTGATGAAGAATTTCTTCACTCACCTGGGCAATCAAGTATGACCGTCTGGACCGAATGCACACCATCAGTGTCAAAGAGATACCCATTCAGTCGCGTATGGACGTGTAAATTGCGAGAAGCTGGGCAAACGAGACATTGAGTGACAGGAGGTCGTATAAATCTTTCGGGGAGCTTGAATTGAAGGCCAAACGTCCGGATGGCAACTTTGGGTTCAAACGGTGCCGAGTTTAACAGTGGAAACGCCAAAGTCCATAGATCGCTGATGAGGTGGTTGGGCAACTGAGGTGAAAGTGCGGTCGTGAGGAACGGTAGCACCGTTGGTTTGTGAGGTGTGAGCCGGATGGCTTTTCCAGCTGTTTGGTGAAGCTCGGAAGCTAAGGTGATAAATCGTACGAGGTCGGTGACAGTGAGAGTGGTGCTGAGATGGGGACTAGTTGCGGCCATTTGCGCTACGAAGTCGGTGAGTAGTAGCATGGTAGCAAACTAACGGTGATGGCCAGCGATCGGTTCGCTAAACCAATGGGGTTAACCTTTGGGGTAGGGTTGATGTTCATGCATCTGTCAGCGAAGAAGTGACATGTCTAGTGGTACGGTCCAAAAGGTGATAAGGTATGTCCAAAATGCGAGTACAGCTAGAACCCACCTTCGTAATGGAACCCATAACCTTATGGCTTATGAGGGGTTATTCTCAAATTCTCAGGGTCCCAGAGAATTCTCAGGGGGCCCCCGGATCCTGTAGTCTACCGGTGGAGCCGACGCCTTGGACTGGAATTAACCGTGCCGGTCGACCATCTATACTCCTAAAGGGAAGTCTGCGTACAAATCCTAGTGGCTGAGTGCGATCCGCTAGAAAATTTTGCAACCCTTTGAATGCTCATAGACTCCCATGCTTGTACGCTCGCTACAAGGACAAGGTCAATCCGATCGATCAAAATTGCGAATCAATACATAGCATCAAGTAAATTTGAGAGCTGGTATTCATACTCGTTTGAAAGCCTCATTTGCTGTTCAATCTCATATATACGTAGGCAATCTTTCGCCTTTCGATTTGATATCCTCAATTTTCAGATTAATTCTTGTATGTGAAACATTTTGATATTTCGATGAAAAGTTGAGGCGAAGGAGGGAGGGCGGACTTGGAAGTCGAGGCGAGATAGGAATATCTTCCAAGGGTAAGGCTGTAAGTAAGAAGACCTTCAATGAGATGCTGAATTGATGAAGGAGTTCGGAATCAAATTACAATCGATGATGATAATCTATAGAAAATCTCTATCTGCAATGATGAGGTCTGTCATATTCAAATGAAGGTAGACAAGTTTGATTGCAAAGAGATCAATCTAACATAGTATCAAGTTAGAGTTGAGATTGATATCAAATGCAATCCAGCTTTTCGTAAATCGGATGCAATCAGTTGTGGATCATTGGATGATAGACAAATTCTATGACTAATTTCGAGAGTTTGAACTTCGCCGACTTCAATTATGTCAGCTCAGCATGCTAATTTCTTCAATTGTTGGTTCGATAGCTCGTGTAGGTACGAGACAGGTTGAAAAGAGAGGTGTGAGGGATGGAAAATTGACTCATACAAATAGCCACCCGCCTATTTCATATATCAAAGAGACAGTTCGAACTGGTACGTCCGGTCTGAGCAACTGCACTTCGATCAGAGTTAATGATACTTTGCAGCAATGATACTGTTCCATGAGTCCATGCAAGTGTCGGTGGCCACATTCACAGCCTCGCGAGCGGTCGAACCGGTCCGAACACCTTGTCCATGCATAGAAACATTGTTTTCAGCTTCCGTGTAATAATCTATAGGAGTCGTCTGGACCTTCGTTCGATGGCCTGGGCTGAATCACTGTTCGTGAAGATCGCACCATGATCTCGCATTTCAGAAGGCGACAGGCCGATGTGATAAGCCTCAAGGCCAACTTGTTCCATCATGCCAACTGGTGTTCTTTTTTTCTTGGCAGTCTAGATTCTTCTATCCACAAATACAAAATTTAAAAATGATACAAATGCTGATGGTCTCTCGCGCTTATAATATCTTAACACTGCGCTAGTGCTTCTCGGGCACCTTTCGACGAGCTACATTAACTTACATAGGTCGATTCACCCATCAACCGACACTTTCAAATAAAATATTCATAGTACATACCATTTTACTGTTGTATACACTCTTTTGCCACCTCAGCCTCTGGACTATCATTCTGGAACACTATACTAGCTGTGCTGCATTTTTCAACAATTCCCACGAACTTTCTCCCTGCAAGCATGAAATCTTTGCGCTGCCCTATTACTGGCTCACGCTACACGGCTTCTTCTCCAGCTCAGAAGTTGGAAAAACAATTGGACGCTTGGCAATCGTAAGTCCCTTTACGATTGCTTGTGCCTTCAAGCCATTTGTTCATTCAACACCGCATGGCAACATACCGGACGCTGTCTGCGATGTCATGATATTATTTGAACTTTCACTGACGTAATCCGCATTTCAGGACACAAAACTCGTCGGTGCGGTCGTCGGCGCGGTCGTCTTGTTCTACTGCTGGTTATTCTACTTGTTCAACCCCAAGCCATGATCGAATGCACCACAGCTGCGCTACTCAAGTCGCTATTCCGTCGTATAGCCCCACAAACCATCAACATGATAAATCACTTGACGGCACTCCGAACTCTCATACTTATCAAATCATAGACTCGACCAATCTAAATCGTTACCGGCCTACAGTCATGATTGTTGACTCAGAATGCCTGCAACCGCAGGTCCAATATGTTTTCGTCTCTCAATCCTTTTTGACTCCCAAGGCCAAGGCGCTCAGCTTCCCCGAAGAGCTTAGCCACTTCCCCCGCTATCTATCAAAGCCAATATCCCCAGCACTTATAAATCTGGACAACCCTCATCGCTCCGCCGCGACAGAGCAAGCAACACGTCCCCCGCGGGAAGAGTGGCCTGTGTTGATGTCGCACGGTATTCAGCATCATCCACACACACGAACGGACACGAAGTCTGCACCATCTACGCGCACCACCATGTCCTCTCGACTGCGAGGGCTGACCCGAGGAAGATCTATGACTCGCAAGCAAGCTCAATTGCGATCTTGCCCCACCTCTCCCCGAGTTACAGAGGTCCCTGATTTACCAGACCTAGCACTTTTAAGACATTTCGACGCGAAGCACACACCTCCTCCGACAACTGCGCCACGCAAGCGAAAGGAAGCTATCATTGACAACGCTGCACATTTCCATCTCTTGAGGCGAGCGACGTCTGATTCCGACAAGACACTACGTCAAAGATGGGAGGAAGCATCTCCAACGTCCAAATAAAAAATCTGCACCGTGTACAACATTTTCTTGTCATTATTATCAGCTTGACCAAACATTTTGTGCACCACGACTTGACCGTACATCAAAATCTGCTCCTCAAATATACATAAGTTATTTTTAATACGTCTTTTATACTCCTTCATTATACACAAAGTTCATCATATTGTACACTCATTCAAACACTCATCCTACAATTCGTACTTTCCACATCAAAGACAATTAAGTCCTTTTATCTTATACTTAAAATTACCATAGTGTTCATGCACGTGCTGAGTATACCACATAAAAGATTGATACGGTTCTTTGCATTGCAGAAGCAAGCTGTGCATCCCCAGCGATCTACATACCCTTCAGTGTGACATACAAATTGTGTGGCGCGTCAACATTGCGAGCAAATAAAAATGAACTTGAGCAAATGCAAATCCTGAGCCATTACTCCCCTTCATAGATCCATCCATGAGTTATCCGCAAACGCGGCTTCTGCTCAAGTACAAACCAAAGGGCCCATTTCCGAAGTTCTTCCTATACCCGAAGCTCACAAAAACTTTCCCGGTAAATCAATCGTGTAATCGACACTGTGTCATGTCTGTCTCTATCTACCATATTGTACCAAATCCAATTATTCATCTTTTAATGAAATGATGGATTGAGCTGCAAGAATGATCATCAGTTGCCCATGATCCCTCCCAGCCATGCTGAGCAACGCTTCGGCTGGGTCCTGGATGGGACCAAAAGGAGCCTGGTATCCAAACTTAACTAAGTCCCAACCTGGACCTAACCAAGTAAGCATGGTCACTTATACTCTACTGACTCTGCTCGCATTGTGTAGATGGAAGAACTGGGACTCTACCCTGCTCCCAATTGAAGTGCGATGCTGGAAACATATTCATTCCACCTGATGTAAGTGTCCCATTGTTGATTTGCGAGGTCGAGGAATCATTATATTATTGATGACACATTGCGTAACCCAAATTGTAGGTGGGCCATTGCGCTTATTAATGTATAATGCATTATCTGCCAGACGCTTGCTAAGGGCGAACTGCTTTTTTGTCTTGGTTATGTATGCTGGGGTCAAAATGTGTATGACGCGCAGCATGTGAATATATTCGAGTGCATTTGGACCCGGGTTGGGCCCCAAAAGATTATTTTGAGATAACTTTGGAAGCAAATGTGCGAGCGTGCAGCCGAGAGCGGCAAATCATGGATGGCAAGCTTGCGCGTCATTTTCATTAGCAAGTCAGAATGACTTGATAAGTGAGATTAGTGAGAAACGGAAATGTTAGATTTTCGAGAAATGCCCCGGCAGATCTCACGCCATTTTTTGGACATTAGATGTAAGTCCCTCCCTGGAGTTGGTGGTTAGGTCCAGGTTGGGACTTAGTTAAGTTTGCCTGGTATCAACCCCGGGTCAGCTGCGTCACGATCTGCGTTGCTCAGCGTTGCATAACGGGTTTTGTTAGATAGCAGCGCTATCAATAATCAGGCTTCTGTAACGTGGTGGCGAGCAGCGCAACCAGGATTCAGTTTTAGACCTTTTTTTTTTACGCTAGGCTACAGCAACGGTGACGCGTTTCTACGCTACGTAGCGTGTGTAGTTGTATTTTGTCCCAATACAGCAGAGGTAGCCAACAGATTGGGCCAAATGGGGCTAAAACTCGGGTATACAGCATAAGATACCCGAAGATAGGTCCACAAGCCCCTTCACACCTACCCAAAGTGGCCAATAATTGCCTATAGCATCTCCAATCAAGCCAATGGATGATCCCAGGGATGCGACTGACCGCAAGATTCACATTCCAATCTCCTCGATGTGGCTCGACACTCCTTCCAGCTCCTTGATGTGGAGGTCTAGGCGTCAAGGAATCACAATCACCGATGATGATCATATAACAAGGTATCGAGTGAGTCAATACCTCGCTTATCTTCTACTCATCTTCGACTCAGTACCATCCCTTTTCTTTTTCTCACTACCTTTCCTTCTTTCATACCTACTATCAAATAATCGTTTACCTGTTTACTTACTTTTGACACCTACATTTTCATCCTTTTCACTTTCGCTCACTCGCTCAATCTTTCATCTAGGTCATCATCATATCTTACAGTAGCCAAATAATCATAATGTCCTCACCAGCTCCAACTCCACAAAGACCAGTCCGAGTTCGCAAACAAGTCATCACACCAGGCATGGTCTCGCCAAGTGTTGACTCTCGCCGTCGCTTATCAATCGAAAGCAATCAATCAATTACCATACGCCCAGTTAAACGCTCCAACGCTGTGTTGCAAGAAACCGATTCCGACGATGAAGTTGAAGTTGAAGTCGTAGAGAAAGCACGTAAGAAAAGCAAGAACTCATCAAAGATCTTGGCTAAAGGTAAAGGCAAAGGGCGAGCTGGAAGCAGCAGCTCAGCTCCAAAGCAGTCATCATCAACTGATGTAAGTCTTCTCGTTTTCTACTCTACTCGACAACACATCAACTATCTATCTCTACTGTCCATAGGTTGTGTCCAAGAATGTCACCAAGAAAATCTTGCGTGCGGACTCGGACGATGAGGGCCAACCGAAACGGCGGAAGGTGGTGGAAGATCAAGACACGGGCGAGAACGCACGTTTGCTAGCATACTTTCATAGCCCAAAACATGGTCCAGGCGATGTGAGCACTTTCATTTACAATTTTTTAACTGTTTATACTCCATCTTTATCTCTTATCGCATTCCTTTCTTTCCTTATGAAGCTCCCCTCCAAGCCACCCCTTAGCTACGCCTGCCGATTCTGCCACAGGAACATCAACCACCCAGTACGAGTCAGTTACAGCAACCTCACCGGCAACCTCAAAGTGCACCGAGACGGCTCAACTCAAGACGGTCGGTCCGATGTTGGTTGCAGTGGCCGTAACAAGGCCAAAGCAACCGAGCCAGCGCTACAAGTCCCTTTATCAGTTGCCGAGAGACGTAAACAAGCGGGTGGCAGCCTTGATTCGTTTGTAACTGTCACTCCGCAAGTTCCTTTCTCAAACCTGATTCTAAACCAAATGGCCTGCGCATGGCTCATCCGACAAGCTCAACCCTGGACCCGAATTGAGGATCCAATCCTCCGAGGTATGATACGGTATCTTAGAAAGGAGGCCAGCTTATATGGCCGTCGGTGGGCTGCTGATGAAGCGAAGACTATGAACTGGGGATTGAAAACATCGGTTTTTGCTGAATTGAAGGTTAGTTTCTCAAATACATTAGTTCTTCTATACACAATACTAACAATGTGTCATCTTTCAGGATCTTAAGTCACGTTTCAACCTTGTTCACGATGGTTGGACGACGAAAGGAAATCGTCATGCCTTTATCGGCGCATCTGTAACGTTTATCGATAAGGATTGGACCTACCGAGTGCGACATTTGAGTCTCAAGGTGATTCAGTGGCATCATCATGGACCATGGCTCGCCGAACCAGTGGTCCACCTTCTAGTCAAGCACAAACTGTTCTCAAAGATGAGTCTTATATAATGTTTTGTACAACTTTTATGACTGATTTATTTGGGCTAATCAATGTTTTTTTTTTTACATGTTGTGCCAGACCACCGATTCTGGTTCAAACAACAAAACCATGGCGGACGAGATGCATCGACAGTTTCTCCAGCAGCCCGACTCATTTGATTACAAGTGGGATCCGAAACCATGCACATCTTTTGCTTTTGCCACA